CTATAGGGTTCCGTCGGCTATAATCCTTATGGAACCAGACGGCTCGGTTGCTTCTCTCATGGTGCGACTGGAGGGGTTGGGGAACTAGCCATGCAGCAGTTGGCAGCCAAGTGCATCACACTGGTGCTACAGGACTCCTTGGTAATCTCTGTCCCAAGTGCAAAGACAGTCCATTTACTTTCCAATTAAAATATTAGTTCACTTAACACTTATCATGTGTGTTAACTTAAGTTTGTGTAAAACTATATACCTACATATATAAACAGTTGTTAGGTTCTGCAAGGGAAAAATGAAACTTTCTGATCCAATAAAGATGACCAGCTTCCAGAAACCCTAAACATACTAGTCCCCTGTCCTATAGGGTTGCTATGAGTCAGAATTGACTTAATGACAGTTAATTTGGTTTTGTGAACCAAATTATAATAAAAATAAAATGTTTATTGTCTCCATAAATGTTTATGGAGACTTTATGATTACTACTTTGAGAATAAAGCTATGAATTAGATACTCAAATATATACATGTTACATACAAGAAATGTCAGACACAGAGAGGTTAATTGCGATCAGTCCAATACCTACACGAGATGCCTAGGAACTTTTTGTGGCCCTGAATTGATTGAATTCTATGCGTTACAAATGGCTATTAGCATAGTGATTTCAACATTCACTGCATTCTAGAGTTATGCTTATAGAGAGCTACAACTTTGACTGCATTTTCAGTTTGAACTGATAAAGATCTCTATATGCATATATATGCATCTATACATATATACACACATGGAATTCAAAGTATTTTTCAAAGTAAAATTTGATTAGATTTTAATTCAATTTGTCCATGAACTTTTGATACCTCTTCATAAAACACACACCCACATCTGTAATCATGAAGAAGGGATTCCTGGTGGCACAGTGCTTAAAGCACTAGGTTTCCACCAAAGGCAAGCAGTTCGAACCCTGCAGCTGCTTCATGGGAGATGGATATGGCAGGGGCTTCTATGAAGAGTTACATCTTGAAAACTCTGCAGTTCTCTGTTCTGTCCCACAGGGTCACTGTGAATCAGAATTGACTACAGGGCTGTAGGGTTCATTAGTGGGTTATCCATGAATAAATTAAACCAAGATTATTTAAAAACATTTTTTTAAAAAGAATGGGGAATACTTTCTGAAATACGTTGCTACCTAAACTTTCGTATCATTCTTTCAATTTTTATTTAAAAACAAGGATTGTTAAGATAAAGCCACCAAAGCCTATCTATAGACAGTGGTACATAAAGCTTTGGTCTTAGAACTTAGCTTTAAACCTATTCCCAACATGCTTAAGTCAGAAAGCATCATTAAAACGTAAAGACAGCTGATCTCATCTCTTACGTGGGTTAAACTTCTTTCTCATAGGCTACATACACTAAAAGCAGTTGTTTAATTATGCAGCTCCTCAGAAGTTATTACTTTTAGCGTTTTTTGAAGCAACTTACCAGACAGACCCTTTATCTCGACTTATTTCCTGGGGAAAACATGCACACTTCTGATTTTCTTCCTCACACATTTTTGATTGAGTGGGAAACTTAAATGGGCATGCCTAATCATGGTTTCTTCAATTTGATTACTCACTTTTTTTCTTAACCATCTGCCTATTAGACAGGTGTAACCCCACTGGCTTACAACGACCAAACTCATAACAGCGAGTCTCGGAAAGTTTTTGCATATTGTTGCGAAAGGAGAATCTTAAGCAGCGCTGTATACGGCCAACACGCAGGGTTAAAACATAACTGAATCTTTAACCGATGAGTCTGTCCGGCTGTTGGGAGGACCAGCACTGCTATGAAGATGGAGCACAAACGCGAGAGGTCATCCCACAGCTAGTAGCTTGTGGGGTAAAGTAATAAAGGAAAGGGCGTAAAAATGGAAAACTAAATTTAATTCAGCCACGAATAATTATCCTAAATAATCCCTTACTGGTAATAAAACCTTTTGCTACTCTGTTCCTTTTTTGTTCTGCACCAGAAGCAAAACAATAAGGATAACACAGGCGAACATTCTGAGGAGTAAAACAAACCCAGAAAACCCCAAACAATGATAAACTGAAACCGAAAAAACGAGGTTGGGCATTGACGTGTGTGTATGTAATAGCAGCAGTGGGAGTAGTAATAGAAGTTAGTACTAGTAGCAGTTAGAAGTAGTAGTAGTAGGTAGTAGTAGTAGCAGTATAATGGTCAGAAAAAGGGGTCCTCAGTGCGTTAAGTTGACACCATTGCATCAATGCGCTCAAACATATGATCCGGACGACAGCACAGGATCAGGTAGTATTTGGTTCTGTTGTTTATGAAGTCACTTTGAGTACCTCCAAATAATACATAAACTAGATTCACTGAATGCTTGTAATTATTCAAAATAGTTCAAATTGCCATATTCACCACAGTTTTATATTAAAGATGATTGATATTAAAAAGTTGATTATGCAGGTATTCTCCAAAATTAAGATATTTGGAAAAATGCTGAATACAGAGTATTGACTGGGCCAATCAATCTTGTCAATGGTCTTCCTCTTTTTCGCTGCCCACTACTTTACCACGCACGCACGATGTCCCTCTCCAGGGACTGGTCTCTCCTGACAACAAGCCCACAGTTCGTGAGGTTCAGTCTCGCCATCCTCGTCTCTAAGCAGCTCTCTGGCTGCACTTCTCCCAAGACAGATTTGTTTGTTCTTTTGGAAGCCCGTGGTATTTTCAATATTCTCTGCCAGTCCAATTCAAATGCATACTTTCTTCTTTGATCTTCCTTAGTCAGGGCTCTTAAGTACATAGCAAACATCCAGTAAATATTTGTTGAATCATTGAAGTCCTACGTTACTAAATGAAATAACTCTGCATTATATACACAGGATCAAGGCTAGTTAGTTTAGTTGGTTGGATTATTGACATTTACTAACGAGACTATTCATGTTGTCAAGAAAGGATTGATACAAACCTGTAGACACATATTAAATTATTTTTTAATTAATAATTTACATCTCTGGAGAACTTTGTTCTATTAATATGGATTAGATCTTCCTTTTCAATATCTTTAATGCATACAATTGGTTAAAAAAAGGAATTACGACCATGGTTCCACTTCATATATGCACAGGTTTATGCCAAACAAAAATATTTAAATTCTCTGTGATCACTGGGGGAACTCTGGTGGCACAATGGTTACGAGTCAGCTGGTTAACAACAAGGACAGCAGGGAGAGCCCAGTGGCTCCATGGGAGAAAGAGGGCTTTCGACTCCCGTAGAGAGTCACAGACTTGGGAACTCATGAGGGAAGGTCATAAATTCTACTGTACAGTCATGGTGAGCTGGTGTCCACTTGAAGGCAGTGAGTTTTTTGGGGGTGGTGGGGGCAATGAGTTTTTTTGATGATTGGTGGATGGCTGCAGACAAATTCTCTCAGTAATACACTTGTCTTAGATTCCATAGGGTCTCTTCACAAAGGTCCAATCACGCCAATGGTTTCTGAGGTGATCTGCTGAATCAGGTCAGTTCAGTTCAACCCTAACACGGAGAGGTCACCTGAGAAGGTTAAGATAACTGTTTTGGGGTAGAGAGGAGGTGCTCTCAACTGAGTCATACTGATGGATTTTTTTCTCAAAGGACAGGATGATCTGGGGACTTATTAGGAAGAAGTCATAAGAAATTTAAAAATAGTGAACTACAGAGTAGATTCTAAGTTAAGCACTTGGTCTCTATCTTATATGCTCATCACGAGGTAACCTTCAGTTTAGCGGTTTGGCATTCATAGTATCAGCTAATTCTCACATAACCTGGGTGTTCTCAAAGGTTTGTAGCCTTGGCTACTGACTGAAAGGTTGGTGGTCTGAATTTCCCAAGAGGTGCTTCAGAAAAAAAGACCTGGAGATCTACTTACAAAATATCAAACATTAAATATCCTATGGAGCCTAGTTCTATTCTGATACACATAAGGCTACCAGGAGTCAAATTCCACTTGATGATAACGGTTTTTGGTTTGCCTTTTTCAACCCTAGTCGGTCCACACTACTATTATGATTCTCAGTTACCAGTGAGGAAGTTGACACAAAAGTTGAGCCTCCCATACCAACTATGTCACTCTACTACCAGGAAGTAAATATGCTTTTAGATGCATTTCTGAGCCTATGCACCTGTGATCTTAACTACCAAGCCTTCGTGCCTCCCAGAGAAGAAGTTGCACTTATTAGTTTCCACTTGCACATGACATTAGGTTTAAATAGAATTTCACGGGAAGAGAAAGGATCCACTCAAGGAGTAGAGTGACTATCCAACCATTCTCTTCTAAAAAATTTAAAATAATGTTAATTTCATGATTAGATTTTTATAAAATATTTAAAGGAAAATTAAGCCAATATTAAATGTCATCACTCAGAAGAACAGGGCACAAAGGATTATTCTAAATATTAGTATAATGACTCATCACATTGTGTACTTGATCAGAGTAAACTACAGTGCCTCAAGGGACCTGATAATACTCCAAAAAATAATAACTTATTTTGAACTTATACTGACTACTTCAAATATAAAAGATTATGTAGTACTTGTTGGGTGTAATATGAAAGGTTATCATAAAACTAAGACAAATCCCAACAGTACTGTAAAAAATGTTATTATCTCAGGATAGATTATTTTAATTATTCTTATTTCTACTACTCTTATGCTAAAAGAGAAGGCTCGAAATCTGTAACTGAAAAATTTTAAAGTATTAACACATATGATGAGCCAGTAAGATGAAAAATTTATAAAAGAATACAAATGGTTGCTGCCATTGTTTATAATAATATTCCTAAGCAATTCTGGACTTTCCTCCTAGTTCATATTTAAAGTGAAACTACTATGAAAACTATTATTGCAGGATTTCAATCTCTCAGTAACTACCGAGTGTTGGAAGGCTAAAAACACAATTGCCCTGTAGCACACACTTCAGCCAAAAACTTGTCATGCATAGTGAGTGTCCTGTGGGTTTTCATTACCTTTAGGCCCTTTGAACAGTTTGATTTCCACAACAGTCTCCAAAATGGGTCGTCTTCTACGCACATACAGTCGAACAATCGATCCTGCTTCTTTGAGGGCTTCCACTGCTTTACTGTGGGAAACCTCGGACACATCAACTTCATTCACCCGCAAGATACAGTCATTGACCCTACAAGCAAGGAAAAGAGGCAAGCGTCAGCATTGGCTAGGTGGACTTCTTCAAGACATTTATTGTGATGTAATCATTTGCCTTAGATTGCAGGGAAGCAAAATTGAAAAGAAACTAAAACTATTTGAATTTCAAAGAATGCAAATGAAGGAAATCAAGTCCACTTTAAATTCCTTAGCTGTTCCTAAAATGACCAAGTTCCTGGGCTATGTCAGTTTCATTGGTTTAACTGAGGGTTGGAATTTTGAGTAATTGTCCAGACTTAACAACTTATAGAGTACATACAAACAACAAAAGTGTACTAGTAGCTGAGGTCTTAATCACTTTATTAGTTTACTAACTATAAAAGTAATACCAAAATATATTAGAAAATTAAAAAGACATAATAATTTAGAATTTTAAAAAATGTATATGATTATCCCTATCATTAACTTGGTAACTTTCTGGCAAATTATTTTCCAGCTTCTTCCCCCACCCCCCCTTCAAAATTCTCACAATATTTTAAGTACTGAAGTTAATTATTTAATAAATTCAAATGCATTTCAGACAATTCTTGGCCCTAGAAATAAACTTTGCTATGGCAAGTTCCGTGTCAAACTTTGCTATTTTCCCATGGGAAAAATCATTTGACTTTTCCATAAATCTTTCCGAGCAATTTACAATGTATTATAGTTTAAATTCTAAGGCACCTGGTTTGTGGAAAGCTAACATTTATACTGGGAATCCTAATAACCTTTAGAGCAGCGATTCTCAACCTGTGGGTCATGACCCCTTTGGGAGTCAAATGACCCTTTCACAGGGGTCGCCCAATTCATAACAGTAGCAAAATTACAATGATGAAGTAGCAACGAAAATAATTTTATGGTTGGGGGTCACCACAACCTGAGGAACTGTATGAAAGGGTTGTAGCATTCGGAAGGTTGAGGACCACTGCTGTAGAGCCTTGACTTGAGTTTAGTCTCCATCTGAATTCATTCTGACTGCTGACCAGGAAGGCTGCACCTTTGCCCTCAGGTGGTATGTTGGAAAGTAAATTATATCATCTCCTGGGTCAGTCCACAGAGGGTGGTCTAACTTTCAGGGGTCTTGACTGGGCACACCCTTCAATATTTATAGATACTTATCAAATGGAAGTTGGGGTATTGGTAGATAGGATTCCAGGCTGAGCAGTCATGAGCTATACTCCAACCATCAAGTAGTTAATTGGTCAAAAGTCCCTAAATCCAGTTCTGTAAGCCTTTTCAACCTGCAATTGCTTATGCATCCCAATCACGGTCTTTTCCCTGCTTCTACAATGCTGGCTGAGACAGTGAATGAATCTGCTACCTACCATGATCTTGTGACAATTCCCTTTGTTTCTTACAGTTTATAATTAGCTCCATGTCTAATCCTGTGGATACCATTGTGACCTTGTGCTGACAGGTTTTCCACCTGTTATGCAAATGTGTCTTTGTCTTGATTTTGTCTAGTTTAAGCAGAAGCTGGGGAATGAGTAAGGAACCCTGGGGAAGAATTGATGTGTTTGAGTCACATTGACTCTACAATAGACTTTCAATAAATACAGGAGGTTGCGCCTTGGAAGCAAGGGTGGTGAGACTTCATTTCTCATATTTTCAGCATGCTCTCAGGAGGAGCAAGCCCCTGGAGGACATTATAATTAGTAAAGTGGAGGGTCAGAGGAAAGGAGAATGACCATCAATTAGGTGTATTGACACAGTAGCTCCAACAATGGGCTCCAACATAAAAATCCTGAGGAGGGTACAGGATTGAGTAGTGTTTTATTCTGTTGCAGATGGAGTTAATTGTGTTGCAATTGATTCTGCATCACCTCACACCACCACGGGGGGTCTCTTAGAAAAATGTTTGAATTTGAGATCACTTTTCCCCTAAAAATAATTATGTTGGCATGAAATTCAAATATATAATTTTATATTCTTGGTACCAAAAAAAAAGCAAAAAGAAAATGGCTAAAATATAGAATTTAAGACTTGAAATATTTTCTTCACTCCACATATTCATTCTAGTGTCCCCATTTCAGCTCACTATACTGCTCAGACTAACAGATGAAGGGTGTTGGAAGTGAGGTTACTTGACACAGGTCTTCTACCCAGATTTTTTGTAATTCCCAATCAGTGTGCAAGTGGGTGGGACCATGCAAAAATCGTAGAGGACTCTAACTCGGGACTGGTCAGTTTTGCATTTCTACTGGGTATAAAAGTTAGCCATTTCAGAAGCAGGGAATCCCATGACCATTAAAAAAAAAAGAGCCACCAGAGACATGTTCATCTTATCCTTGCCCGAGAGGCAGAAGCACTGGAGATTGCAGCACCCACACCATGTGACAGTGGAGTGTGCTTCCTGGCCCACTGATGAGCAAAGCTGAATGGAAATCTCTGAGTCAACACTGACTTGATGGGAGTGAGTTTTTGAGTAAAACTCTCATAATAGCTTTTATCAGTAAAAAGTACAGCCTTTATTTCCTCCACTTTCTGCCAAAGTATTAAGTTGATGGTTTTATCCTTGCATTGCTTACCCTGTATTGCTTACCATTTCAGATATGTCTGCCATATTCATCTGCAAGATGGGATCAAAATTACCCACCCAGTAAAAATATTATATATTTTCTCAAAGTCTCATTTATTTTGAAGTTCTGGCACATTTTCTTTACAGAAAACATTTCATATATTTAAAAAGAGGATATTTCATTACTAATATGTATCTAAAGACTCACAAATAAACTGTTATTTACATTGAACCATGAAATATTTTGGGCCATGAATAGGATCATACATAGGCAAATAATACTTTTGTGTGTATGTTTACATATACTTACATTTGGGACATTATGTTACTCTAGTTCCCCATATTTTTATTTATTGAATTAGCAAATAAAATTGAAGCTGCTGTAATGAAACTGACCATAAGCTTGATTAGATTGACTTATTATTTGGAAATTACATTTGCTGATAATTATGACGTGGGTTTAACATACATGTATATCTAAACTCCACCAAATTATCATGGTCAACTTTTTTAGAATTGTTTAAAAATGTTTAATAGTTTTATTTAGATACATTTCACATATCGGGCACTTCAACAATGAGGTCACATCATAAAGAGCTGCATAATAAGCACCACAGTCAGTTCCCACACTATCTCTTCCTTCCTGTACCCACTGCTATACCCACTTCCCATCTGACCTCTAGCTTCCTCCCCACACCCCCAATAAACCATTCATGCAGTCATTATGTCTAACGGTCCAACTATCCTGGAGTTCATATGCTGTGAAACATTAAACAAACAACAACAACAACAAAACCCCCTAACAACAACAACAAAATAGACCAGAAAAAAGCCTCAACAGGGAAAAAAGCAGAAAATATAAAACACTGGAACATATCAAATAATACTTATTTGTTCCATGCTTAAGAAATAATTTAAAACAATATACATGTATAAAATCTACTCTTTTTCATAGGGATAGAAATAGCTTGTTATAAAACGCATTGGTGATTTCATAAATAGCTAAAGGATGTTAGTCAATTCATTACAAAATGAACACCATATCCTGTAATTCTTAATAATGAAAAAGCTGCCTGTTCGTTACACACAAAAAATAAGGAGGAGCAAAGTTTCAGTTCTGATTTTGTCAGTAGAAAGACTTCGGGTATTTATAAACAATTTTCTACTTTTACGATTCTTCCAAATACTCTCTAACAGGCATATAGCAGGTAGAGATATACAGTGGCGCATACCCAGTAAAGAACATAAGGACAGATGTTAGAGCCCTGGGCATACTCGCTACACCTGAAGTCTAGTTCCAGCTCTAAATCTCCTGTACTATGTGACTTCAGGCATCTCAAAGCCTCAGTTAATTCATTTTAAAATGGAGATTTTTGTGCGGATTAAATGTGATAATTTGTGAAACACTTAGCATAATATCTCAGAAATTGAAAACATCAATAGATAGTGATAATTATTGTTGTGAAAAATAGACTGGAATCGTCTGCATGAGAAAAGGCAGGAAGGGTTATAGGGGAGGAGAGAGACAGTAAAGGTAGAGACAAGCACTGAGCTACAATCAGATGCTGAAGTGATTTTGGAATTTTGCATAAAGAATAGAGAAAAAAGATGAAGTGCATGAAACTCTGGAGAGGAAAAATGGAAAAAAATAGTGATCCTAGTAAGTTTTGTTTGATGAAGTGTTATATAACTTCCCTTTCATTTTGCCCTTGCCTCACAACCAAGAACATTTTCAGTTCTGATCAAAACTGCATATAGATATAAGAAAGCCTTGATGAAAGTTTTCATAAATTAGCACACTTCAAAGAGTTACCATCAACTCATGTTATTCTGCACCTTACCCTTTCCAGAGCCTCTCAACCACACTCAGACTCCCTCAAGGATGGACTCAAAAGTAGGTTTAAGGTTACAAGGTTTGAAACTTAACTTTGCAGCAGTTATTGGTTACTGATACGTGCTCCTAAATTGGCTTACCCTTTAGTGTCTTCACTCAGTTCTACGCTTTAATCAAGTAGGTAATTAATTACAGACCAAAGGGCCGTAGCTATGGACAACCTAGATCCCTATGTGCTGTGTTGGATGAGATGCAACAATACCTCGTCAAATGGAAAACACCAGCTGGTGAAATTACACCATGCAGCTAAAGTCAGCAATAAATCATTTTCTAAAAATCAGGGTCTGTTCAAAAGGGAGACTTCAGACACAGATTTTACGTGTACTCTTATGAAACCTGGCGGTGCAGCAGGTATGAGTTGAGCTTCTAAGTGAAAGATCAGGAGTTTGAAACCACCAGCTACTCCAGGAGAGAGAGACACTGGGCTTTCTAGTCCTGAAAACAGTTCAGGTCTTGCAAACTCACAGAGGCAGTTCCACCCTGTCCAATAAGGTCATTAAGAATCAATCATATCATTGTGTGCTCACCTCCATGATATGATCACTGAAGACAAATGGGTGCATAAGCAAATGTGGTGAAGAAA